CCCCCCCCCCCCCCCCCCTTCACCACGACTATGAGTACCCCCCCCCCCCTTCACCTCGAGTCCCACGAAGGAAGATCTGTTCGTGACGTCATAGACCAACAGCGAACCCTTCGCCTTTCGGTAGTACGTCTTCATCATGCTCGCGTATCGCTCCTGGCCCGCGGTATCCCAGATCTGACGCCGTCGGCGTCGCCGTTTTGTGGCGTTGGTGGTCGGGCGGCAACCCGGGGAAGGGTGGCATGGACAGCCGAGCTTAGGCGTGGAACACTAATTGCGGGCGCGCATGCAACCAGCGTGCGAGGCCCGCCGAAAGCGTTTCATATTATTGGCTTCACACTAAAAACCGTTTACTCGCCAACCAAAAACGCTGTGTTGTGCAGTAGGCATACTGACGATGCAAAGTGTCTGTTCTCAATGCCGACGAAGTAGAGCGGTACGGCCCCATGATCCCTGAGTAGTGGGATGTGGATCAGACACGAAACGAGACACACACAAACAGCGGTGACACGCAACAGGATGCGGCGCGAATTCATTGTAATAAATGAACCCCATCGACCGCGCCATGTCGTGGAACGCATGCACAGCACCCACATTTCCAACGGCAACACCTTGTCACTGTTATATACAAGTACACTTCCTCTTTTCAAGCAGAGACACGATCCGGGCACGCAGCGCGTCTATTCGGTGGCTTGTTGTCACCGGGATAAATCAGCGATCACCTGGAGCTTGACGGGAACGCCATCGACGGTGATCCTCTTCGTCACGAACTCCACCCCGACCGTGCTCTCGAAGTCTTCGGAGAAGTCGTTGTTGTGAAACCGCGCGATCAGGTTGCTCTTCCCGACGCCGCTATTCCCCAGGAGAATCACCTGCTTCCAAGGCGGGGGCCTCTTCGTGTTACACCTTCAGGGGACACAAGGCAGGCAGCCATATTAGCTGCCTATTCGCGGTATTGCGCCGCTCAATTGGGCCCTCCTTGCACGCTTTCAAACGAAACGGTACGAGTTCACGCATGCCCCCCCAATTCCCGTCCTATCTCCGCGCAAAGCTTGTACTTTATCGTATGCATGAACGACGGGTCGCGCGAGAAAAAAAAGGGGGCGCATCGTTGTGGTGTGGGGGGGATCATGAGGGCGCGCGCGAGCTAACCAACCCGACCGCTGAAGACCTGGGCTCGAGAATGATCAAGCCGCAACAACAATATACCACAGCAGTACGGTCACCAAGTACATAATTTCGTCCAAAAAACAGAGGCTCAAAATTTGACCAAATGAAGAAAATATGGCGAAGAAGCATTCAAACATGGCTCAGCGGCGGATCCCGCACAAAACTCAAAGTAACAACCTGTGCTCAACAAGGTGGCGATGAAATAAAGAAACTACAGTGCCTCGACCCTGTTTGGACATTCCGGGTCTGCGGGCCCGTACTCTGAATGTATTTGCATATCAAAGCGAAAAATGAAGAAAAACAAGTTTGAGCACTTGGAAGCACAGCTCACGGACGTGCGTTCGCAAAATCAACTGCTTGGCGCACAACCTCAAGCCCCAAGCGCTCACAAAGCTACTGCAATTTTTATGTGCGGAATCTCAACTGCAGCCGCAGAAGATTACGAATAATATTCTGCCGTGTACTCGAAAAGTCATCTCACGAGTAGATTATTGCAGGAGACAATTCTACTGCCGTTGCATTTGCGTACAGTCTCCATTCGTACAAAATCACGTCTAAGCATACGTAGAATATATTCATCCTTCCAGCGTACCAGTACCTAAAAATTACCAGGTGGCAAACGCGACGATCGGTTATTACCCGCCCTGAGGGAGACACGCTGCACAGCGCTTCCCTTGAGGTGACCTTTGTGCGGTTTAGGTTGGCGGAGGCATGAGGTTCCGGCGAGGCGTGTTCGGCTCTTCGTACAATACAGACAGCTGCTGGGTCGGGGTTTGCTTGGAGGCATGGTTTTCTGTATCCTGTTCCTATAGTCTGTATGCGTAGTCTCCATAGAACAGTAGAATGGATATAGGAATACACGTGTATGCAATGTTACACCCGGTAAGGAGGCGGGGGAACAACACTATTTTGTCTTAAAGGAGTAAAATAGAATAGACTCGAAGGTACAACCGATGATGCGCGCTGCCGTTCGCCTCCCTCCTCCTTTGCCAACAACGCATCCCCTTCATCTGCTACCTACGCTGCTCGCGGGGGAATTGGTTTGCTGAGAAAATCCTTGGCAGGAAGTCCCCACGAATTGTGCTACACTGCTGTTCAAAGCCAGCGGACGCGTAACCCAGGATAAAGTGAGGAGACTCCTGCTGCGCACACGTTTGCCCTACAGCCTGCTGGGGAGAGGCAGACCCACACAAGGAATCAAGTATACCAACGAGTTATTTCTCGAAGCTTGTATGTGAGACCCGCAGCAGCAAGCAGCACGCGAGAACCACGTCAGTGCCCCCGTCGCACCTTCAACGGCTCCTCCTCCGACATGTTTGCCCTCGCTCAGCCCCGCTGCTCGTCTTCGGAATAGATAGCTTCTTCTCGCGAACGGATGCTCTTTCTCTTCCGCGTCTCTCTGTCTGTCTCTCTCTCACCAGCGACACCCCCCGTTCCAGAGTTTCCTTGCCCTTTAGCTGGCACTCTACTTCACCGATATCCGCTCGTGTACCACTGACTGGTCCGCGGCGGAAACGATAGCTTTGGACCCGGTCTAGGACCGAGCAAGCCAGCAGCTCCTCGTACCACGCGCCGTGGAATAGATATCGCAGATCGTAGCATACCCATACGTAAGATGGAGGCTCCGTACAACGCAAGCTTTTCGATGAGTATTTCGCATGCATACTTTGGTTTGGTTCCGACCGCCAATCACTTTGAAAGAACTCTGCCCGCAGCAGATCTTTGTTGTAGGCAATAGCAAGCAACAGCATGCAACCTTCAGCCGAAGGAGCGAGCTCCCCATTGAAGCACAAGCGTAGGCGAACAAGCTGCTAGCCAACAACCCTTGACCAAGAGGAAACTCAAGATTGCGGGCCTATACAGTACACGTTACTCCGAACGGACAAACCGACAAACCGACATGCGAACCAGATTGGGAACCACGGGGAGCCGAAGCGCGGAGCAGCCCGTACGGAAAGAGGCACGGCTTGCCACCAAACCCAGCAGTGCCCTCAATCGACTGGTGTGTGGTGGAAGGGGTTAGGGAGGCGCTTGGTCTAGGAGTCAGTGTCCAACCGGTGGCAGCGAAGGCGTCCCTTGTAGGTCGTCGTGACACAGCGACACCAATGACGTCAGCAAGACCAAGAGGGCCAGTTCCCCTGTTGATGTTCTTCTTGCAGTTGAGCGCCACGACAGCTTGGCTGTCCCCGAACGCGTTTCATCATGAGAGGTAGGCAGTAATTCGACACTTAAGTGCTTCTATTTTCGAAAAGAGAGAGCAAAAAACACCCTCTGTGACAGTTTGCGATCTTTGGCCATATGCGTCAGCTGTTGTTGGCACCGCCCGTTGACCAATCGAAAACGGGCTGCATCGTCCGGTTTCACTGGAGGCTCTCGAAGTCAGGGCGGCAAACGAGAGAGCAAATCTGCAATGCCCGACCTGTTTTTGTGCTTAACTTAGGTGTTTTGGTGAAAAAATGCCGGGGCGGCTGTTGTTGCGTTTGTGTGCAACTGTGGCACCTCTGTGGCGACATTCATCGAACACTCGAGAGGATAAGACTCCGAATCCAAGCAGTACGATAAAGATGGGGGCGTATCTGAGTGTTTCACATCACACGGGTGACATGACAGCGGCAGCAATGCGCCAGCTTCGAGCCCCGCCGGGAGTGAAGGGCTTCGAGATGTTGCGGGGGCAAACCATGCTCTATTTGTACAGCAAGTAAAAGAAGTGAGAACTTTGCATAGAGGGCTTGGAAGATCTTCCCTTCCCCCCCCCGGGCAGCGTTAATACTGTCTGAGGTCAAACTAACGTCTTGTGCACCCAAACCGGAACAAAGCTGTAGCCAACGAGTCGAGCAGAGTGCGTTTTCGAGAAATTTCTTGCAAAGAGTGCCCTTTCTTGTCTGCTACTAGCTCTGGCGCCCTCTATTCCCCGTTTTTATGCGAAACAACTGCAGAGAGACAGCAGTGGAGATCGACCGAGCCAACGAGGTAGGCTTAACGTCTGATGTAGTCCTCGGGGTGTCTGGCAGACGCGTATGCCCACCAGCAGGGTCGTGTAGGGTTTCCGAAAGCGATCGGCGTGTTCCTGTCCTGTCTCGTGTGCCCTGCATGCGTCTGAACCACACAAAAGCTGTACATGGCGTCCCTCTCGCTCCAGTACAGTGTCCCCGGGTGGGAGGGGGCTCCGATCGGGGGCGGAGCGAGCATCGCTACCACCAAACAAGCGCAGTGCGCCAGATGAGCATATTTTTGTGCCCATTGCCCTCCTTCCTTGGAGCGCACCCAGCACGCTGTATGCTACTATTAAACCTAAGTATTACGAAGGATGTTGCCGTCCTTTGTGTACCTCAACCGTCTGCCTTCCAATGACCCCACAGGTTAAAGGAGTTTCGATGGGGGACGGGCGTTAGCAATAGCAGGGCCAGCCCCAGCAGCGCGGTTTCATCCCGATCCACGACGCGACGGCTCTTCGGCGGCCGAGGTGGCACCGGCACGATGGCCTTGGAGCCGGACAACCCGACTTTCGTGCTGACGGTGCTGGGGGATCTGCACTTGGATCCCGCGTGAGTGGGAAACCGCGTCGAAATATGTAGTCGTTGTCCTCGTATGCATACCTAGGAATGTTTCTGCAGGTGTGTCTTCGTGCTCCGCGTTGAGTCCATTCCACTCCGGCCGGGAAAGATGCTCCGATTCCTTTCCAATGCCGCGATTAAGTGTGAATTAGTTTTCCGTGCGAAGGAAAACAACACCGCCACGAAGCAGCTTTTCCTTCACTTTGTGGGACCCCAGCCAACCGTCTCGACTGCCATGTGAACAGGGGTCGACAGACGCCACTTCCGGGCACGGGAGATGCCTCCATAACTCAGAGACGGCATTTCCCCGACAAATGGAGGTAGAGGGCACCATAGAGTGCTTCAATGAAGTTTGCAATACTAAGAACGACGACGAGGACGGTGTCAAAAGGCGCACTTCTTCATGACAGCCCTTTGCCCGCTTGCTCTCCCCCCCCCTTCTGTACTAACACTGCTCATGGTGCTGCCAATTTGCTACCGCTGCTGCTGCTGCTGCTGCTGCTGCTGCTGTTGCTGCGGTTAGTGATATGAGAGCGCATGAGGAGGCGCGCGATCAGATCGTCCACCAAATGGAGGTACGGACACGAGCATGGGCCTTTGGCAGGGTTGCACTGCTACAAGCGACTGAGGGTCTTGGCTGACATAATATGGTCAAGCACCCTCGAGGCAGTTACACAGTGCTTACAACTGTCTCTGGAAGTGAAAGCACCAGAAAATAAATTAATTCATACGCAGCTGTCATCCGTACGCAAGGAAGTAAGCACAAGATGC